GACGTAGAGCATAAGGAGGAAGAGAGGGTACATAAAAAACTGTTAACTATAATAACAATAATGTGGAGCCGGGCCGGTATATGGAATCGAAGTAGTGGAATGGTGTTTTGGGGCCTCTCGTTTACTCTCCTCTCCTCTCCACTCCCATACCGAGTAGAACAAACACACACTGCAAAACCACAACAACAAAAATAACCGAGAAATAACGCTCTGGGGAGCGCACGCTTGGAACCGCCGCCGCTCATATGGCAGCAATTTACATAAAACCCGCAAAACCAGTTTGTTTTTTCTTCATTAAGTTTCAAGTTCCAACGCAGACAGAGATGGAGAGAGAGAGAGAGAGAGAGGGAGAGACATTATGAGCGCTGAGTTCTTGAGACATTTGCCTGCACTTTGGCTTGGCTTTGAGTTGATTTCTTGGTTTGTAAAAGCTGATAAGAAAGGAATTGTGATGGCTAAGTGGAGAAGGATTTAACAGTTATGTTCGGGAATTCCATAAATTTGGTTTGCAAACTGCAAAAGTCTCTTATTTAAGAAGCCCTCAAACTGGGAACGAATTAAAGTTCCTTATCAGCAATCCGTCTCTCTCTCTCTCTCTCTTTCCCACACAATAATAATTACTCACTCGGTAATTGTTTACCTCAAGAGTTCCAATAATTCAATACGAAATTATGATTATCTGCAGTTGTCTCTTCACTTTTCTCCTTTTGCTTTGAAGAACCGCAAACTTGATAAGAATTTATATCCCATCTGCAGTTTCTTTTGAAATTCCAGTAACAATAAGCAATAACAAAACACTCACACAAAGCTTAGAGACTTCCATAATCCAATCAGACGGTTCCCCACTAATCAACAAAAGAAAAAAAACTTACCCATAGCTCTATGCCCCAACTCATGTTGTTGGAGTTTTCCGCTGCTGCGTTCTCCGATTCGGCCAGTTTGTTGTTGCTGCTGTGTCTACTGCTTGAACTGCTTGCCACTGTAGTAGTAATAATCCACAAAAAAAGAGAAGATAATGTAATCCAAAAGAAGCGCACGAAACGAAAGAACGGAGAGGAAGAGGAGTAAATAATGAGAGATGTAGTTTTTGTTGTTGCTGCCGTTTGTTTGTATGTATTTCCCGCAAAGGTTAATTAATTTCTGTTCTATGATAGAGAGCATTAATTCCACGGCACGGCAGACTCGAATTTGGTGGTTAAACAGGTAAAAACACACAAGAAACAAGAAAGAATGCAGACGTTGCGACGTGTCAATGCAGCGCAGCCGGGCGGGGCAGGGGTGCGGGGCAGGTAGGAATATGTGACCGTTTTTCTGGATAGCGCCAATAATCGAGAGGAAAGTAATTTAAAGGCAAAAAACCGAAGGGGAAATGCACTGGCATTCGCGTTGCACCGGCGCACTAAAGCCCAAGAAAGAAAGAGACAGCATGCGCTGCAAGTGCAATTGGAATTTTGAAATAGCTTTTCTTTCCTTCTATTGTTTTGGTATTTTACATAATTTCGCACACACTCTGCACGCACACCACCGCACTCTCCCTTTCAGTCTCTCCCTCCCACGCACTTTTGCTCGTTTCGATTTTTTTCACAATTTCTCATATGCGGCTTTTGTTGCACTTTTAACAGCATGCGTCATAATTCGGGTAACATTTGCACACCCAAAAACACATAAACACACAAAAACACGAACACAGCACAAATTTGTTTTTTTTCTACCGCGTTCTTTTTACCTTTGGCCAAATACGCCCAAAAGAAGGGCCGAATCCAGAGAAATGGCTAAATATATACTTTATCTCTATTTACTTTATTCGACAAAGACGCGCGCACCAACCGCTCGGCGTAAAATTGTTTAAGTTTTTAAGTTTTTTTTTATTTTTGATGGGTTTTTGCGTCGGCTGCGGATGAGGTGGAAAGCAGAGACGAGAATTTCCCAGGGGAATTTCTCTTCGGTCGGGGAAATCCTCTCTTGTGTCTAAACGGTCAGGGAAATTCCCTCTCTTCCGTACTCATTTTTGCGTTTCAAATGTGAGCGGAAAAACTTCCCTGGAAATGTCCCAGAGGAATATACGTTCACACTTCTACATATACCGTTTATATCAAAACAGCACTAAAATACTTTTTAAGGCCACACTGGGCACCAAAATCAACAATTAGAATTTAAAACCTGAATAATTGCAAATATATAAATTAAACATTGAGAGAAATCTTAAATTAACAACTCAAAACTAAAACCCGCCACAATGCCTTCCTACGAGCTAGCTCTGGTGCTGCGACAGCTGCCGCGCGTAAGTTGCAGCTGAAATTCTCCCCCTAAAAGTTACATAAAAGTAATAACAAATGTAAATGACAGCCCGAGCTGATATCCGTGATACGCCGCACAGCCGAAGCTATACTGGACAAAGGGGGCATCATTCGGAAGCTGGAGAACCTGGGCACCCGGGCGCTGCCCCACAAAGTCAGCGAGCACGGGGTGGTGCACCGCGTGGGCACGCACTTCACCATCGCCTTTGACACGGCGCCCACAAAGATCTCGGACCTCAAGGAGGAGTTTGGCCGCGACATAGACATTGTGCGTAGGTACATCTTCAAGGTGGAGGAGCCCGAGGAGCACAAGTGCACGCTGCACGAGGAAATGCTGCCGCCCGCCTACCGCAAGGACGTGCAGGAGCTGATAGCGACGGCCCAGCGGAAGCAGAAACCAAAATACAACTACAACTCGGGCCTGGACTACTATCCGTTCCAGAAGTAGAGCGACAAGTCGAATAAAAATCTGTTAATTGTACAATTATGCACTGCCCTGCACTAGGGGGGGATTTCAACTTTCAGCGTTTCGCTTACGACATCATCAGACATCCCCGTCTGCTTATCGTGCGGGCAGTTTGCACTGCGAGTATTTTGTCTTTATTTAGTTTATGGCTGGCAATCAACGCGACAGTTATCAGCAATTGATAAATGAAACCCAATAAACTTCGACGATTGCAAGAAACCACAGCCAAAGGGGCCGTGGCCGCAGCAGTGCCCCAAGAACCCTTGAGTAGTCCAGAACTACCAATCAGAAATGCCGCCACAAATACGTGCCCTGACGCCCGAGCTGCAGCAGACGGCCAACGAGCAGCTGCACGAGGTGCCCGATCGCCTCGAGGCGGATCTGGAGGCATTCAAGGCATGGATCAAGCAGCAGCCGCATCTCAATGCGCGCACAGACGATCAGTTCCTGGTGGCCTTTCTGCGCGGCTGCAAGTTCAGCCTGGAGCGTGCCAAGTCCAAGCTGGACAAGTACTACACACTGCGCACCAAGTATCCAGATATCTTCAATGTCACGACCACGAGGGGTCCCAAGTTCCGTGAGATTCATCAAACGGGGTAAGCGGCAGAGAATAACTCTTGCAAAACCATTCTAAATCTTTAACTCTCAGCGCGCTGGTCTACCTGCCGACTCCTCTGAACGGAAACGGGCCACGCATTGCCATTTGGCGCATGGGTCTGTGTCCCGTGGAGAAGTACAACATTCTGGAGTGCATGCAGGTGGCGCAGGCCATGCAGGAGATTTCCATTATGGAGGATGACTACGCCAATGTCAATGGCATTGTGTTCATCATGGACATGAAGGGAGCGACAGCGGCGCACATGTTCCAAATGACGCCATCGATGGCCAAGAAGTTCACCGTCTTCTCGGAGGAGGCGCTGCCGCTGCGGCCCAAGGCCCAGCACTTTATCAACACCGTCTCGGGCTTCGAGCAGGTCTTCAACATCTTCAAGCACATGATGTCCAAGAAGATGCAGGGACGTCTGTTCGTTCATGGCAGCAAAATGGGGCTGCTCACGGATCAGATTCCTCTGGAGTATCTGTCGGAGAACTACGGCGGGCAGAACGGCGCCATTGAGGATATCGTTGCGGCGTGGGAGAAGAAGTTTGATGAGTACGAAGAGTTCTTCCAGGCCAATGCCACGTACCGCACGGACGAGAGCCTGCGCCCTGGCATTCCCATTGACTTTGAGGGTCTGTTCGGCATCGAAGGTTCCTTCCGTAAGCTGAATGTGGATTGAAGCGGCATTGTCTCTGTTATTCTACGAATTTCTACAACTTAAACTTCTACTTGTTTTGTTACTATGAAAAATCATCTAAAGAAGCAGATTCTACGCTGCCACTTGGTGGGCGTCGACTCGAACATCTTTCGCCGGTCGAGGGTCCGCTCCAGGTAGTTGTCTATCTGCTGCTCCACATCCGAGCGCCACTTGAGCTGCAGAAACAGCGGAAACACTTCGCCAGCTTTCTTGAGTCTTCGCTCTGCCGTTTGGTAGCACTTCCAGGGCTGTGGCTCCACCACAAGCAGCTCGGCCAGATGGGAGAGTTTCCTGAGGAACAGCCTTAGCCCTGCGTCATGGTGATTCAGGTGGATCCACATGGTAATGGAGTAGCAGCAGATGGCATCGAACTTCTCTCGCTGCCTGCCATCCAAGTAGCTCAGCACCGTCTCAAAGTCGGAGCCATCCAGCACGTCCACGCACTCGTAGGAGATCTTCTCCGGGCACGTGTTCGCCTGCTTGGCACGCAGTGTCAGCCGCTCGTCAATGTCCACGCCCAGTATGTGCACGGGTCGCTGCAGGCACTGCTCCAGGTATCCATGCAGCAGGTGGGTGAAGACGCCGCAGTTGCAGCCCACATCCAGCACGAGGTAGGGACGCGCCTCCTCCAGGTTCAGGGCGGGCGCTGGCAGCCAGATATCCTTATCAGGCAGCAGTTTCACCCTCTCGGAGGCCGAATTGAATTGATAGTAATTCATGAAATTGCCATATTGCACGGCGCCAGGATCTGCGTTGCGAATTTCCATGTTTTTATTTTATTTTGTTTATAATTTTTCCAACATGCTCATTTTTGCGTTGTTGAGAAGAGCAACCAGGGATGGCAGAAGCTTACGTCACAGTTGCCCAAATATCGATATACCATATAATCGATGGTGGAAACTGCGCGCGAAATTCAAGTTCAAAAGTGTTAAATGTTTATACATTATCAAGTTTTTGCATTTATTTACTGCATTCATTATTAATACGCTTCAATGCCGTCCCGTCCCCCCATTTACAAATCGATAACTTGGTAAAATTAAATAACATAAACTTAAATATACAACAGAATATACACAAGGTTTGGGGGGCTTTTTGTTGGCAACCCGCAATGTTGGCCCGGGGGCGCATCGCCGGCCGGGGCGGGGAAACTGAATTTAACCCACTAAGGGAACTAGGCAAAATTGCAACAGTCTGTTGTGCCCCCGGCCAGAGCTGCGCCCCTGAGCACGGTGACCGAAACTTGCCCTCTGGCTTACATTTAACTACAATTTACTTCGTATAGTTACTCATTTGCTACGAGCTATTGGAAATGTCTTTGCTTGTTTTGTTGTGGTAGGGGAATTAATTACTGAATTATATAATTTGTTCTGCCACTGATTATTTTCCCATTCGAAGCGTGCAAAGAGTTCAAATTTAAATTTGTTGTGACTCTGTTCGGCATTGTTTTTGGCAAATTGTTTAATCTGTAATAAACGCTACACGATTGTTGGTTTGTTTTGTTTCTGTAAAATACTAAATGCTACTTAATATGGACTTTGAAAAAGGATTCTCTGCTCTTTTACTTGTAGAACTTGAAGTATTCTAAACATAGTCTAGTAAGTGGTTTATAGTTGTTATGTAAGCAGCGCTATGATTTTTGTTTGTTTGTTTAGCAAGACTCTAGTTGAACCGTAAACCTCACGCTAAGTCAATTGAATATACTTAGGCCTATAGCAATATACTTTCGTTAAGCTCATAAATACACAATACACATAATCAATCAATCAATCAATCATAATTAGTTATGCCGCTAAAAACTCTTACGACTAGCTTACAGTCTATAGAGGGGGGAGGATGTATGAAAATGTCTTTCGTGGTCGTGTCTGTGGCTGTGTGGCTGTGGTTGAGAGTGCTGTTGTAGAGTGAAGTGAAGTTGTTGTTGTGTTGGCATTCATTTCATTATGTCACGTATTGCCAAACGGGCCTTCGTAAATATGCAACTATATGGCAAGATAGCAAGTAAGGAGAGAGGAGTGTGTGGGCCCAACTCTGCTCTGTGCTCTTTTATCGCAAAAAGACAGACCCAGAGAGAGCGAGAGAGAGAGAGAGAGAGAGTGGTTCAAAGATGCAAAGTTACAACCAATTATTACTTGCGGGAAATACTTGAAGTTTGCTTTACAGGGATGGGGGGAGAGGGGTGTTGTTTGTGGGAATTCTGCTTGAAGTGGGGCACTGGGATTTGAGGTAATGAAAATCGAAATCTAACTCTAGTCATCTGGGTCCAACCCGATTAGTTCAGCTTGCAAACGGCCCTTAGTCTTACAACAAATGGTTAAGCAAAATACTCTCAAAGCGATACGAAATTGCGGCGACATGCTGGTCATGATTACAATTTTCCAGAATGAATTCAATATGCCAATCCAAACGACTGCGAAATTGATAAGAGTACTTTGGATAACATCGCCCGTGACCACCTCATACAGCCTCACTGAGATCCATGGCAGCCAGGACATCCAGAATGCAAAGACTAATGCGAATGACATCATATGACTAGGGTTTGACAAATTTTCAGCCAGAGCAGTTGCATATTCTTTATCGTGTATTGGCTCGCCCGATCTTATTTTACGCATCATCACAAAGATATAGCCATAATTGTGTACGATCGATATGAGGCTGGGACCTAAAACTAATATCGCCAATGTGGCACTGTACGCCGCCATGTTGCCCCAATCCAGCATGCAAATGTGCGACAGATTATTCTCTATCGGCTTCGTATAGCCGAGTATCGGCGGGCAGCAGAGCAATCCAGCGGATATCCATGTGAACACCATCCAGCACTGGCAGCTAAGGGAAAACGAGGCGAAAAAAATATATAACAAATGTGATTAAAGACAGCTTCGAAAGCGAACTAAAAGGAAGTACTTCAGCGTTAGAACTGCAAAGGAAAGTCTTGTAGAAATATCAAAAATTACAAGAGAGAGATGACAACCTAGAGAGGAACTTCTTGGACTTACCGCGTCTTTGTCTGCACCGTTTCATAGCGCAGAGGTTTGCGCACCGCCAAATAGCGATCCACCGAGATCCACATGAATGTGTAGACTGACACCGCCCACAGGGTCACCTCCAGATAGCCCGTAAAGCGGCACAAGATATCCCCGTACATCCATTCGCCCGTGAGCGCAGGATACACGGAGAACGGCACAACCAGAAGGCCGCATAGCAGATCGGCTATGGCCAGCGATAGCAGATAATAATTGATAACCTCTGTGGGACCTGCATTAAATGGTAAGATTACAGAAGAATGCAGCTTCGAGTAGAGTTGGGTTGGCTTACCCTTGAAATTGGCATAGGTGGCAATGATGAGCAGATTGGAGAGCACTATCGCCACGCCCAGTATGGAGATGAGCACGGCTTTGGTGAGGGCCTCCACTTTGGAATTATCCTGCAGGTAGCTCATTTCCTGCATTTTTGCACAGCCACAGTGAGTGAAAGTTGCCCTTTCTTTTGGTTATGTTCCCCTGCTGTTGCTCTTGCTGCTCCTTCAGCCGCTGATTGTTATGCAAAGGCCAGTGGACGTGACCGTAGCTCACTTCCGGTCATGGCGCTCTACTCGTGTGGCTTTCCTATATGTCTAAGGCTACTTCTTATGTGTGTCTGTAAGTTTGTGTTGTGTTGTGTTGTGTTTGTGTGTGTGTGGCGTCCTTTATTGTGCAACCGCCGACGCTTGCACACGCGAAGGTCGTCGCCGTCCTTGTATGCCACTGAGCCTCCGCCTTGGAGGTCCAAAATTTGTATAAATTTAGGCGCTGGCACAGTGCCAAAGCCCCGCTCAACGTTCGTCTCTGTGTGTGTGTGTGCTGTAATTTGATTGTTCTTGTTCGGTTTCTATTGCAAGCAAGCCCCAGCCGTAACCGTGGCACTTTTGGCTCCTGCTCTGGTTAAGGTTAAGGATAATGTTCGCCTCGTGTGTGGTTTTTATGTAGGCATGTCTTAGAGGAGTGTGTCTTGTGTGTGTTGCCTGTTGTGTGTGTGTGTCGAAGCTCGTTTCAAAATTTGATTAAAATGTTTAAAAATCTCTACTAATTGCTGTACTTTCTATGTTTAGTTCTCGCTTTCTTTTATGTATTCACAACTCTTTTGTTTGGTGGCTCTAAACTGGCATCGTAAATGTTTTCAACGAACTTTAAGTTTTAGTTTTAAGTTAATAAATTTGCTCGCTCAATTGGAAGAATAATGATTATTTAGTATATATATTTATGTTAATTTTTAATTAATTCATTTGTTTTTATATAATTACGCGCATTGATGTCTGGGCTGTTCGTTCGATCTTCTGTTCTTTATATTGTGTGTTTGGTTTTGTTTGACTATAATTTAAGCACAGCACAAATGTTGCTTTGGTGTTTTTGTTGTTGTTGTTGTAAGGCTCCTTTCCGATGGCTTTTAATGTTGCTGTTGTGTTTTTTTTTATGATCCTGTGCGCTACAATTTACGAGTTAAAATATTTCGTAGAGTTTTTAGCTGTTTTTTGCTGTTCTCCTTCGCTGTTTCTGGTTTAACTTGTGATTATCCTTTTGCTTGTGTAAATTCTGTCTCCTTTTTAGTCAGTTTTAAGCTAATTGTGCGCTTCTGTGGGGCAACAAAAAGGGAAACAAATTTGAATGCAGCATTTGGCAGCTCTATAAATAGTCAGCACCCACAAGCCCCGCTAATCAATAAATTATTACCACATGCGAGAGAGTGCACAGGAGTGCCCCAATATGTGGCAGGCGGCAAAAGCCTTTTAGCTGCACAAACGCTTTACATAAGCGTGCTTATCCTGCGCCTGCCACTTGCCTGCCACCCCACCACCCCACCACCCGCCTACGCTCTCTCTCTCTCACTCTCTCGCTTGCTGTCGTCCTGCTGCATTGACCCACTTTGGCTGCTGGCACACTTGACACAGTTTGAGAGCCATCGCTGCTCAAACTGTGTCCGTCTGCCTCTACCGCCTCCAACCCTCCCTCTGACAATGACATTGTCAAGTGCGGCAGCTGCTGCAGCATCGACAAGAACTTCGACAACATTTTGGGTGCATGTTGGACAGAAAAAAATGTACGTACTTATTTTTTACATATTTTGTACATATTTTTTACATATTTTTTACATATTTTTATGTATTTTTTAGTTTATTTGCTTTATTGCTTGCTTTCTTTTGCTTTCCCTTTTCTACCCCCAATCGATGAGGCTATCCCTGAAATGTATTCCCCCAACCCTCGACACTCTCCCTCCACCTTTAGCATCCATCAGCCATCAGCATCATCATTTACGACGTCATCGTGCCATTTTCTACGCAGACACAAACACAAACACAAACACCAACACCATTATCAAAGGCCATTAGAAATCAGCAGGAGGTGGCTATGTGGGCCAAAGGAGGCGACTGGCGACTGGCGACTGGCGGATGCTGCTGCGAGGGTAAAGGTGTGGCGCTGTGTCCCGCACTCACTCACTATCTCACTCGGAACTTGGTAATTTAATTAACGCTAACGGGGCACAACGCTTTGGGTTCGACAGTCAGTCAGGTGCCCACTGCGCTGGCCAGGTGATAAATATCAATGAATTGCATTAGCCGCCCACCGCCCACCGCCCGTACCCACCATCAGCACAAAGACTGATTACATAAGCGCCAACTGCAGTGGATGACGGCTACGGAGGGGTGGGTGCAAGCAGGGGCAAACGTCATTTGTGCAAATTACTTCCTGACCCATGAACCAAACGAGCCAGCTCCAATCAACGCGACGTCCGTGCCAGCAATTACAGCGAAATAAGTGTTATTGCCGGGAACTTAGCCGGAGCTGGATTTGTGTACACATAATGAGGCAAACTCGAGTCAAAATCTGAGGCAGGAGGAGTGAGTTCAGCGAACCTTGCCACACGGCAAACGAAAGGGAGAGCGAACACTTTTCTTGGAAGCCAAAAAGGATAATCAATAAGCGCATGCATGCGCATGATTAATTATGTAAATAATTTCATTGTACCAACGAGAAGGAGAAGGAGTGGGCAGTGGGCAGTGGGGAGTGAGGCAGCACTTTGATGAGATTTTGATTGCCACTGGGGCAGCGGGCACGTGTGTGTGTGTGTGTGTGTGTGTGTGTGTGGCATAATTAAAAATAAAATGTTCCCTTTACCCTGCCAACTGCAGTCTTTTGCCTTAAGGGTTTTTATTATCCGTCGAACTTTTGAGCAAAAGAATGTCAAACATTTTGTGAAATAAACGGAGTTCCAGCTGTAGTTAAAGCTGCGAAAATATTCACAGAAGAACCCAAGCTTAGGTTCAGGCATTTCGAATCCCCTCTTCATGTACTCTGAATCCCTGGAAATGAAATGTCCTGCCATGACACACTTTTCGACTTAGTCCGCAGATAATACAACTGAACTCTCTGCCTGCCTGCCCTACTTTACCGAAACGCACTGTATGTGTGGGTTTGGCTTGTGCCCATTTCCCGATTTTGTGGATTTCCTTTTCTCTTTTCAGCGACTGGCCATAAAATATGTATTCGCATGCGTGTTTATGCCGCCGCACAGGCAGACACAAAATGTGGCACACATCACAGCCATCGACGGTGACACAGCGTCCTATCGGACGGGCAGGATGGCTGGCCCATAAAATCATATTCAAATGGCAGCCAGGCAGGACAGGTGGTAGGGTGTGAAAAAAAAACGTGAAACAGAAACAGAAGCAGAAGCAGAAGCAGAGCTTTCAGTTGCTATAAATATACCTTTGGGGGGGTGTCACCTACACACCTGCACATATATGTGTGTGTGTGTGTCTGTGTGTGTAATACAAATTGCGAAACACCGCGGTGCACCGCCACAAAGGCCAAGGCAAGATGCAGGCTGCGGCAGGATACTCATTTGATGACGTTCGCTGCCAGATGGGAGGCAAGGCTGCTGCGGCTGTTCGCCACGTCATCATCGTCACCATCCCACGTGGATGGCTGTGTCTTTATATAAGCATGACCTCACCTTGGCGTCAGCACAGGGACCCATGACAGGCTCTGGCTACGGCTCCGTGCCGCGTCTCTGCCGCTCTTTCTGTTCTCTGCTTAATTTATAATGTTTACTGGTTTCGCTCAGTGCATTCTGCTCAATGCATAATTTATGCTTACGCATGTCAAATGTCGCATATGGCAGGATATTTTCGGCCTTGCTGTGGTGGCAGCTCCTGTCACTCCGCTGGCTCTTAAACTTTCCACCAGCTGCAGCTCCCGCGGCGCCTCCAGTCAGCAGTCAGCCTGTTGCTTCCCCCCCACTTCCTACCGAAATGAAATCAACAACTTTTTTGGCCACAAACTTTTGTTCAGAGCAAAATGCCTGCAGGCGTAAACTGCAATTAGTTAGAGCGAGAATGCAACAGTTTTCCCAAAGGAAAAGCAAGAGCAAGCAAATAAAGGAAAAACCAATTTTCCTGGATCATGTCCTTTCTGTATGATGTCTGAAATTCACGTGCCACCCGCTGCCGCTGCTGCTGCTGCTGCTGCTGCTGCTGCCATGACCATAAACGGCCAGAAGTCACTTCGTTTCGGCTGGCTGGAATGTGTAATGCCGTAAGTACAACATGTCGTATACGCAATGCTTTTACTTGGGCCAATTTTTGCCTTGTCATTTAGGGCGGAAAGGGAATGACTGGCCAAGGACAAGAACAGCGTCTTGGTGTCCCGCGCGCGTGTTTGCATAGTTTTAGATTGGTTTCCCCTACCAATGTTCCCCTTGGACATGTCCCCTTGGAATCGCTTTTACTTCCCCTTGCCAAACCCTGGCCATCCCCTCAGATTTCTGCTGAATTTCCCATCGGAATCGCTGTTTTTGGCTGCATGGCAAAAGAAATGTTGCAGATGTTTTGGCATTTGGCAAGGTCAGATGGTCCCTTCCGTTTCTGCTTCTGTTTTAGTGCAGACCACGTGACGTATGCGTAATAAATTAAATGTAGCGCTCCTAAGGACAATTGTCGTTGGGCTCCACACACATAGACACTCCCCCCCCCGCACACACACACACACACACACACACACACAGCTACAATCAAATACTAAACAATCGATCAATAAAACACAAACAAACAAACGAACGAACAAATTTTCGTTTCAATGTCTGCGACTTGACATTCAGCCAAGGCGGCGTGGCCACTGTGGCACACTGGCACTGGCACTGGCACTGGCAGCCACTGCCAAAGCCAGTCAGTCGGCCAATCAATACGGCAATGCATCAATTTGTCATTCAAGCTGCTTCCCATGCCGTTCCTCCCTTGCAACTTGTTTATTTGTTGGTGTTATTTGCTGTCTGATTGATAAGCAAAGAGTGTGTGGGGGGCACGCTGCAGTTGCAGCCCTCTCGCCTTGTTACTTGTATTTCATTTGCAATTGATTGGCTCAATGTGGCAGCTGACGCTCAACTCTGGCTACGCTCAACTTGTGGCAAGTGGCAGGGATGTGATGCACACAGCGCAGTTTGGCAGTTAACAATGCACGAGGGGAGTATCTAAAGGAACTTAGTCCTCCCTCCCTCCATTCGCAGCAATTAGTTGGCACTAGGCCCTGGCCACGCCCGCTCATAAATATATAAATCAAGGCGCCCAAAGGCCCACAACTTATTAGGCAATGGGCAGGGCAGCAAGATAGGAAACAAAAATTGCGATTTGTGTGCGTGAGGGCAAAGGAAAGGCAGAGCAAAAGTGGAAACGTGGAAATGGAAAATGGAAAATGGAGTGGACAGTGGCAGCAGAGTGGACGTAGTGGGTGTGTCCATTTGTTTTTATGTTTTTCTTGGCCGTGGCGACAATTATTATTATTTCTTTTGCTGCCTAAAATGTTTTTCTTTACGTTTGGATACATTTTGTTTTGCCGATACCCAAGAGCCAGCAGCGCGGGGTATGCCATGCTCAATAATGTGTCATAAAAGAGGGTACCACGCGTAGCGATTTCTTAGAGTGTTTGCCCCCCCATCGGAATTGTGCTCTTGTTTCGTGCTCTTCCAATAAAACCCATTTGCAGTTGAATTCTAAATTGATTTTGGCCGCAAGAGCTTTGGCTCTGCTCTTCTTTTTCTTTTGTTTAGGGTATCTCTCGGCTGCTCGATTGCCCCTCAATTTGTATATTTAGATATATAAAATATTTGTTGTTGCTATTCCGAGATGTTTAATTTTAGCCGCGCACATTTGTTTGTCTCATCTTCGTTTTAGCCTTGTTTTGTGTGTGTTTTGTGTTGTGTTCTGTTTGGCTTTTGCTTTTGTTGTTAAACGAAGAGTCCAATTTTCACTCTCACTTTCCAAAATTTCTTTCATGCCAAAAGGCGACACGTTGCGGCCATAAATCATGGTTGGATATATACCTAATAATCTCCCCGGAAAATGTGGGAATATTTCAAGTGTAAAACGAATTCCAACAACAATTAATTTATGAATTATTTAACATTAAATTAGGGGCACATTCGAGCACCATTGAAAGGGTTATTCCACTCCTGCATACCAAAGTGTGGAGTGTGGCAGCTGCAGCCGCGTTTCCCCTTTCTTTATCGAGCTAATTGAATACGTGAAGCGAACACACAACACAGAAACAGAAGAAACAGCAGAAAAAGAGAGCGAGAGAGAGCGGAAAACAATTACAAGTTACAGCTCATAACTGTAACTGGCTGCAGCTGCCACAAAACGAAGAGGGCGAGCAGAGCAGCGCGTCATTTCGCATGTAAATTAGACTCCCGACAAGCCGGCAGCCTTGAAGTATGCTATGGAATTGTGCGCTCGTTCAGCGGACAAACTGGGTGGACGGAGGCGGGAGGCATGTGTTGACCGGTTTGCCCGGTCATGTGTGAAAAATGGCAACTGTGTCAGCGCCCACACATCAGCAGCAGCAGCACCAGCAGCAGCAGCGTCAATTGCATTATTCAGCAAAAGGTTTGCAAGAACAAAAGCCACTCGGAAACTCGGCATGGAACGGGTGGATGGATGGATGGACTGCTGGTTGGTTGATCAAAAAGAGCGAGAATAAGACCCTTGAATTATGCAAAAGGCTTGAAGACCTTGAAGACTCTGCGGTGCACGTAATTAAATATGGGGATGGAAAACCCCAACTGGAAACGGCTACTCCTCCAACCTAGGGAATAGGCAGCCCTCAGAGACCTCCACTGAATATGTAACGTGTGAAATTTCCCATTGTGTGATCGATAAAATGGTCTCTGGAAAGGAGTGAGGGCCAAGACCTGGCTTTGGGTTGGGTTGGCGCTTGTCGTCGCGTCCTTGAAGGCAAATTTACGACAGAATAAACAACTTGGCGGCATCGGGCTGGCACGGTCCGTGTCCGTGTCCTGGTCCTGGTCCTTTAGCGATAAGGATAAGGACACAACGACGCTTCTTTGGCGCGCAATTTTATGACAGAGGCAAAAGACAAATTGCCCATAAAATGTCAAAGTCAATGAAAGCAAAACGAAAATAAAGAAAAACGAAAAAAAGCAAAAGTGTGACGTGTGGTCCAGGGCTGCTATTCGTATCCTAATACAATCATCCATGATATATGCCATCCATCCACCATCCGTCTGCCTGCAAATCCCGCCGGAGCCCCTCGAATAAATTGAAATTTTGAGCAAACGAAATTTGCTTGGCAAATGATGCGCTCAGCCCACGAGCTTTTCCTTATTTGCGCAAAGTCTTTGACTTTGGGGCCTAATCCTACACTGCCTCAGCCCCTGCACTGCTCTAGTCTGCCCTGCCCCCAGCCCTGCCCTCGCAATCATTCTTTGCATTGAGCTTTTCCTCTTTTCTTTTTTGGGCTCTGCCTATTTTCGGTATCTCTGAGCCAGCACGGGGTAGGAGTCCAGGAGGGACGGGACGTTTATTCCCTACTTCTTGTGCTTCTCTCTTTTCGGGGTTGCTTCTGTGTTTTGCTTGGCTCGTTCGTGGATGCTTCCCTTTTGTTCCCCTCTTCTTTTGCTGCTTGTTCCTGCCTTGCTGCTGTCTCCTTTCTCGCTTTTGTGTTGAGGTAGGGTACGGCTGGGAGTTTGAGTCAAAGCTTGTTGGATTGCTGGAGGATGCCTACCCCAAAAATACATTTCTTCATTTACAGGCAAAAATTCCCAACTTTGGTAGACAATTTTCTGCATTTGGACAAGCTTAGAAAGCTAGGAAAAGTTTGTATGCAAAATATTTTTAGATTTCTTCTGCTCACCTTTGACTTCTTGAACAACTTTTCGATGGTTTAGCCCCAAACATTTCCTTTCAGCGTTTGGTTTCATTTATTAACTGAATATTTCGGTTTTATTTGTTTACATTATCTATGATTATTTATAATGTTTTTTGTTTGTCTTGAACACTTTGTCTTTATCACTGTGGTTTACCCGTCTTTTCTTTTGGCTGCAACAAGGCGAGAACTATAAAATATCTAAACAAATGTGAATCCATTCGGTGTGCTCAGGTATTAAGTATCTTTCTACTCATATTATCTATAAGAAATGTTGCCGACAACTAAGCTGGCTCTGGGCGGCTCACATGGCGCATTCATCAATCAAATAATATATTTTAATGCATGTTAAATTAATGATAAATTATTCAGACTAAAAGGTAGAAGAAGGGAACAAATTGAAGGCCCCAAAATGTTACTCCGTTTTTCACTTTCACTTTCCCTGGGGTTTTCCCATGCACGTGCTCTCTCCTCCTCACTGAACTGACAATTTTCCAATGTTGTCATTAGCCTCGGCTGCAAAATATTCGGGGACATGCAACTTTTTTTTTCTTTCTGGCTTTACTTGTTGGCTTTTCTTTTGGCCTGGCTTTCGGCTGCTACCACTGCTGCTGCTGCTGCTGCTGCTTCAGCTTTAGCCTTCAACACACACACACACACACACCCACACCCACACTGACAGCGCGGCACTCTCACAGTCACAGCCATGTGCGCAGGTGTGTGCCTTGATTTTTCAATTAGTCTCTGGCTCGTCCCATCATTTTCCACACTTTAATTGAATTCCCTTTTCTTGCACGATTTTTGCATAGACCATTTATGGGGAGAGTGATTTTTTGCAGCTTTTCTTATATGGAAATTCTCTCTCTGGCACTTTTAATTGACCAACAAAAAAGGGCAACAACTCTTGCTGTCTTTTTGGCCAGAAAAAGAAACAGAAAATTTTTGTTTGCTGCCCGCCTGTGCGAGTCGTGTGTGTGTGGCTCTGTGTGGGTGTGTGTGTGTGTGTGTATGTTTTATGTGTATGTGTGTGTGTGTGTTTTGTGTGTTACTGAGCCTGTGTCTGTGTGACCGTTTCCAACAACAACAACCACTAAACGCGCCCGCGCTGCTGCTAATGCTGCTGCTGCTGCTGCTGCTGCTACTGCCGTGCCGTGCCGTTCCGTTCGTTCTATTCGATGCGTGCGAAGATGCGACGCGCTCACTGTTTGACTGGCGACTGGGGGCAGCCTGTGAGCGCCACAACGAACTGGCTGCTCCACGCCCAGAAAGGCAGCGCCAAACAGCAGCAGCGAAAGAACCAGAGAAAGCGTCCCAGAGAGAGAGAGAGAGCGCGTCTAGCTGGAAGGCCGACTGCAACAACACGCAACAGGAAGCAAAAGAGAGCAGAGCAAAGCAGAGAGCGCAAGCTTTCGCCTACTTTCAGCCCTGAAGCTTCGTGAGCTGAAAAGCTCCCGCCGACCGAAGCGACGCGACGCGACGCGACGCGGACTCAACGCACATGGCCTGGCATTTGTTTATATTTGTGGCAGGTAAAAATAGCACTGCATATTTTTAGGCAGCCTGCCACAGCCAGGCACTGGGCACTGCGCATGCACGAACCAAGAATTAAATTCGACGCTCGTTAAATGTCTTCTGCCTGCATTTATTTTGGAATATTGAATTTGCCAAAATGTTTGCTGTTTTCACTTGGAATTTTGTAAGCCACAAAAGTAGTTTAAAACCACTAAAAGGAGCTGGACTGCTCGTGCTGCTGTTGCTGATCGGATGCCGAGGGCTTTAGGGACTGAAGCTGATCCATTTGCTCAATGAAGGGACGTATGCCCTCGGGATTCTTCATGTACTTGGCCACGCTCAATATGATGTGACGATATATTTGATGATCCCTGTAGGCAGCACTGGGGCGACGCTTTTGTGGGGGTCTAACAGGAGGAAATAGGAGATTACTTGGGTGTATATTATGGGATATAAGGATTACCTCTCCTGATCCCGCTGTATGCCACGCAAACGTCGCGCCGACTCCAGCTGGCGGCGGCGTTCGCAGTAAGCGAAATAAACGCAAACGAGAATGATCAAGGCAGACAACAAATAGATGAGCCAACTCCAGCCAATGATGCTGCCAAAAGGATTGCTGCCCATTAAGGAATCTTAACCCAAAAATATAATATGAAACTTACACCACAAAGGTTGCATTTAGTTGCTGCCACATGGGCGAGGCCAGCTCAAGCGGCTCCTTCTGCTCAGCGACACTCCAAATTGAGAATGGAAACATGTTTGGTTCGGTGCAGGTTGTCTGACTTTTGGCTATCTTTCTCAGTACGGAATCAATTTTGCCTCACAACAAATGTGTCTGCCTGGCCAGTGCTAAGTTTTTCATAATTCAAAAACAGATTTCGAAAGCTAAACGAGCGAGTGGTTGATGGAAGGCCTACTGGATGCGAGTGTTTTTCGAGGAATGTTTTAACACATCTCTCAGCTCAGGTCAGGTGTGTGTGTGTGTTGCCTTATCCTGAGCAACCTGGAAGTGGTTTGCACTTACCCCGAAGCGCTTAATACGGCCACAAGGTTAGCTGTGATCCGACGATCGATTGCCTGGCGCATCATTTGGCTATTTCTAGCTGCACTTTTGCGCCTTTGTCTACGTTTTGTCTACGTTTTGTTTTGCAATTTGCAATGGCAATTCGTGCGCTTCCGTCAACGTTGTCCGCTCGTTCGGGAAAAGCGTGAGCATATAAATTATGTACACCCCTGCCACTGGCACTGGCACTGCCCCAACCGCTGGCCACAGCCATTGACAGTGTCAAAAGAACATTTCAACAAATTTGTTGAGAAAATTTGCCTGGCGCTTGACACATTCGCTGCGGATTTATGGCCATGTCTCGCTTGCTTCAAAAATTCCTGCCACTGCCCCTTGGAAGTGACATTGCATATTGCCCCAAATTGAGGCAGCGAGAAGGAGCGCGCGTGCGCACGATTGTTGACCAGCGCACAGCCCAACCCAAGGCAAGGCATGAAAATTACGATTCTTTACCAGAACCAGAACACAACAAGCCACAAATCTGCTGACACATGCAGACAGAGACACGCTGCCAAAGAACTGAAATGAAATCTTGGTCATCTAATGGTCAGATCTCACGCTGATCTGCCTTCGTTCGTGCCTTCACCCACCTGAGTGGAGCTCCATCAAACGGCTGTCAATTTACCTAAACACCCAATGAAATGTTGCTGCGATGCCGTTGCTGCATCTGATCCGATGATGATGATGATGATGAGTAACCCACACACACACACATGAAATGAAATGCTAATGAATTGTTATCAGTTAATTGTCGGCATTGGAGGGGACTCCAAACTGTGTTGCTTTGTTATCAGCTCTTTTTTAATGCTTTATTTGAATACGATTTGGTGACGCGTGGGTGTTCCAGCCATCCCCACTCAAGTGGCAACTAATAGCCCAATAAATTGTGATATGCGGCGTAAAGAGAGAGAGAGAGAGAGAGAGAGGGAGAGGGGGAAACATAAGAAATAAATTCGTAAAAGCGGAGACTAAGCGAACTGTCAAAGCCTCGCACATTATTCGATTTATGACCAGAGGCAATGGGCAAAGCCAAAAGGCAATCCAGCCAACCAGTTTCTGGGATGCTTTCAGTCGCAAATCCTTTTGACATATCCAATGCGACTTGGGGACCAGCACCAGCACATTCCGTACCTGCAGTATCTGCAGTGGGTAGCGGCTTGGCTATTCCTAATACGTGTAGTAGTTGTACATGGCAGTGGCAGTAGCGCTTTTATGACGACAGCGACAGATTCAGGCAGGCGGACACAGGCCCACCGAATATGGTCAGAAGGGCCACAAACGAGTTCTGTGAAAGATCAGCGGGCCATGCACTAAACTGGATGCCGCCGTTCCGACGACACCGACTGCCCCTGGCCGCAGCGGGTAAATATTTAACTTCACAACTTGCCACCATCTAAAAAAGAAAGAAAGAAGAGCCAACAGAAACGAAACGGCAGCGGCTGCAGACCATAAAAAGCATAAACCGCAAAACTCCGAAATTAGAGATGGGCAGAGGTCAAGAAAGACCAGAAATGCCAAGGGAAATATAAACAATTGCTGAATGAATCAATGAATTTTGTATGCAGCATTAGCTGTGAATGAGTGAAGAATGTTCCCAAAATTAATTTAATTTTATTATAACTAATATTATCCTTCGATATCTGCTGCTCTCTGCCATCTCTACAGCTAAAAGTGAAGCTGGTGTGGGTGCCAGCAAGCAGCGTTCGAGTATAAACAAAACAGCTGTAACGCACTCAAACATCAGCGATCATCATCAGCGATCGTCCCCAGCGAACGAGCGACCAGTTCTACACACCCCAGAGTTCCCCTCTATCCACGTACGATACTGTAAGCGAGCCGAGCCGAGCCGAGCCGAGCCGAGATCTTGGGGGCCCGAACGCATAGCCACAGCACAGGCCGGGGCACAGATCGTTAACTGGACTTTCGGTTTCGGCTGTTTCGAATCGTTCAGTTCGTCTCGGAACTTCTAAGCGATCGGTTTTGTGTGTTTGCTCTCTCGTGCTCCGTGCTTTGTGCTCCATGCTTCGTGCTCCACGCCGCGCCCAAAGAAGATTTCGAATTTATATCAAAATTTTGTTGTGTCGCTTTTTGGCATAAACGGAAGCAAAGCAGCTACCGACCGCTGAAGGCAGAATCTGCAGACGAGGAGCAATAATAATAACCCCATAAATGTTTATAAATATCACTTAAGAGCGAACCAATTCCCCATTCCCCCCCAAGAATCATTTTTACATATAATTTAATAAACAAAAAGCCATGTGCCGCGTATCTGGTTAATGTCAGCGCAAAGTAAAACAAAAAAAACTCAATTCGATTTATGGTTTGTGATTGCAAATTTGACATAATTGTGTTTTTTGATTTATTTCTTAATCGTATCCGTGTCTGTATAAGTGTGTGTGTGTGTGTGTGTCTGTGTGTAGCATCTTCAAGTGCCGCAAAACCGACCACGATTATCGCACACAGCGCAGGGGAATTTGTGTAAGTCGAATGCAAATATTTTTAATTAATTGCAATTATTTATGTATGAGCTGAATGTGTGTCAGGCAACGCGCGACATTTCCTAGTACATTAATCTTGCTCAAAATCGCATTTTCTTGCTTGTTGCCGCACCGGACCCAGTCCGGGAAGTGTTGCAGAGTGGGGGACTCCGCTCATAGGAGTTACCAGCGTGCTTATGGCTTTAATTTGCATTAAGTGTCGCCGCCATCTACACCGACTGCGACTCCATCGACAACACCTAACTGTTAATGGCTCTTGACTCTAATTATTCAATTTTCTCCTTTGAAATGTCAAAGGTTTGCGCATGTAAATGGATCGCATAGCAAGTATACTCGATAAGTGTTCTCATAAGTAACTCATTTGCATGCAAGTCAGAATTGAGTTTTCGTTGCGTTAATAAAAAGAAATATTAAAATGCATTTCTATTGAATTAAATGGAATCTCTTTAGCTGCATTTCCTGCTGCATTTCATGGTAACTCTAATGGAAGTCCAGCAAAGTTTTAACTAAATGCATTTCTGATTAATAGTCTCCACAGCTAAGTTATAATTTCCATGATAAATTCATTACGAAGCTCATAAAAATATAGAACGTTTCCACTTAATAAAATATGTCCCAAAAATATCTCAGTTTAATCTGCAGACTGTCAGCGTACCGAGCAATTTAAATATATATTTGAATGTTAATTCCCCTAACATCTCACCAATATTATTATCTTGAAACCCCATCAAAACTTTGCATAAATATGCCCTTTATTATGTGACAAAATCCAACATTCGACATGCACAATAAATGTGTGAATATTTTAATTACAAAATGTCTTTGTGTGTCCAAAGCTTATGAATTGCAATTGCGACCTTTGCCTTTGTTCAAATATATCTATTATTTGGTGCACATTGTTGTAAGCGTACAATCAAAATGCAGTTTACGGCACGAGTCCAGCCCATACGATCGTGCCATAATCTTCCTGTAAATATTATGACAATTCTCAAACGGCAAGTCAAATAGATTTAGCCATTGCTTTCCGGTTATTTTGTTCATATTTTTTTTCATGGCTTTTCTAATTAGCCAAAGTCATTTGCATAAATTACGCAGCTAACGGTTAACTGGGTTTATGCCTGGCCAATACCTGGGTCAGCTATGAGCTATGCGCGGGCGTGGTCTGGCCACCGTACGCCCCCATTGCAGCTGCTAAGCAATTAGCCAAAGACTGGACAAGCCAACAAATTGTGAGGCTCGGCTGTTGAGGTCTTTTCTTGCCTGCCTGCCTGTCGTATTCCTTTTTTGGACCCAGCCGTTGCATTTGTTATTGAAATGAGTTTTGCGCATTTGAACTTGTGGAACGGTCGGGTGGGGGGTGGGGGAGCTGAAGCTGCCGGCAGGGTTATGTCCAAATGTCAAACTGTCGATGTTCAACATGTTGCGTATAGTTTTCGCTTTTCGCTTTTCGCTTTTCGCTCTCCGTTTGTCAGCCGCTTTTCGCTTTTCATTGCTGAGTGAGGAAACAACAAAGGCCAAAAGCCATGCCGCAAGACTTGGTACACATTCCTTTAATTGGACTGAAAGTACAGTGTAAACAAAAGGCACACATCGAACGATTCGAACCTCCTCCTGGCCGGCCGGATTGCGGATGAGGGAAGTCACTCAGTTTGTTGATCTTGTTATAAAATAAAAACATTCAAAAATAAGTGAACTAAAGGCTAACCGAAGTTGCAGATACACTTGCGGAAATTAATTGCAATTTATGGTTGAAAAATATTACAAATTCTGGGAGTAGGAGTAGCCCCGCTGCGGTGATGCCCCCTCTCTAAGGGTACACAGAAAAAAGAGCAAGACATAAACGTCAAGAGCGAGCAAACGAGATACAAACGCTTGGGCAAATGTGTCATGATTTTGCATATTAAAGACAGCGACAGCGACGATCAACAAAGTAAAAACAAAAGCAGAGCAGAGCAGATGCCATGTGAAATATACTATCAAATACCCTCTGCTGACACACACTATTAACAATCTGTGCTGGCCATGATTTTGTAACCTTCTCCCTGTGTCTCCCTGGCCCCCTGTCCCATGCCCCGTCAGAGCTGTCCGATCTGTCGTGGGAAAAGCGGAGACGTAACCGTCAACAAGAACAACAAACAAAGCTGAGGAATGAATGAAATGTGTGTAACCGCCGCCTGCCCCCGTCCGGCGCCCGCCGGCTGTGGCATGTGGCAAATATTTGGCAATCTGACAGATAAGATACATTCGATAATCCCCCAGGCAACGCGATCGGTTATTGAACCCCAGAACCCCAGAAGCTGGCTGCCAGGCGGGGCGTGAAAATTATAGCAACTCTGGTGGGTGGCCAGCAGCGCCCAGCGGGTGAGATCGGACATCTAATGCGGAATCTTCCTTTGGAGATCTGAGACATTTTACAGCCCATGTTTGCTCTCGAATCGGAGCGGGAGTCGGGGGGCAGTGTTAAAAAAATTACAAAAAGAAACAAAACTCAATTCTTCTTTGAGTTGCCATGAAAATGGTGTTGCTGGCGGGAGAGTTACCAAACAATTCTCGGGATGCCCCGAGGCGGCGTTAAGCTCTTAGTTTATATCTTTATAAGAACTTGAGGAGCGGCTGCTGCTGCTGCTGCTGCTGCTCTGTTTTGTTCAGAGATTACACAAAACATACTCGCAGCAGACTCGTAAATAAAAACGCATGCCAAAGTGGCAGCTGTTTGGAATTGCACAAAAAAGGGCCCAGCTCCCGGTCAGGCATTTAATTAACATTTAAATGGCAGACCGACAGAGAGAGAGAGAATAAAATGTAGCATCTCTGGATGCTCTGGCTGTTTGAATTACATCCAACCAAAAATATACTTATACTTTCAATGATGAACAATTTACAACCAATTCCAACCCAAAAGGCGAATGTAAACAGGTTGGGAGTGGAGGTGTGGAGCTGCGGTTGAAAGATCATTCAAATAAGAGCCAGCCAGAATATCAGGCATCTCCATAATGTTTGCGTTAATTAACTAATTAGATAATTGCAGCAGCAATGTTAGTGCTTCAGTCAGGCAATCCCAGTCGTGATTAATGGTGAATGCAAAATGTTGTATTATTAATAAAACTAAAATGAGGGCGGGGTGCGCAGTCTTCCCCCATGACACCACACAGCCTGTCTGTCTGTCTGTCTGTCTGTCTGTCTGTTTGGTCTGTGGTACAGCCATTTCCTACGACAACCAAAACATGTCGAATGAGACATGGGCAATGTTGGATGAGGATGAGCAGCTTTTATAGACACTGCAGACAGGTGTTATACGATAAAAGGGAAGGTGAAAATAGCTGCCAAGATACTCAGTAAGAAGTAGAAAATACTTACAGCAAATGCAGATGGAAAATGTCGTCTGATAGCTGTAAAAATAAGCAAGAAATATCTGATTATTCGCAATATTATGTTTAAAGTTTCAGGCTACCAAAAATGGTATAAATGAAAGCAAATCAAGATTAAATATAACATATATTTATTTTGCCCTCAGCTGTGAGTTTTCGTCTTAGTTTTACTCTAAAAATATATGCACAAATCTTGAATTTCTTAGTTCATTTTCGTGTGTTCCCTGTACTTGGAGTCCACAGTGCTTCCTCCGCCTTTGCTCACACTATTTCTTTTTGATATATGTACGTCTTGTTCACGCATCTCTCGTGATTCATTGGCCATAGCTCATGTCTGGGTCAGCTCGCTCACTGCCAAGCAGCAGCACTCACACGGATACAAAATAAAGATCCCAGAGATACTTGCACCCACAGCAACATCTTGCGAGTCTGACAAAAATAAAGTTGACACTTTTCCCCGCAGCAGCAGCAGCAGCGGCGGAGGATGATGATGATGATGATGCTGATGCTGATGCTGCGGCTGCTTCTTAGAGCTCGTCTGTCCACGCCCTGCAGTTATTTGTTCTGTGATTTATGTGCTGGGAAAACAAATCAATAACATTTAACACGCACACTCATTTTTTAGATATGTTCCACGAACCCACACACACAGTTGCAGCTACAGATCCAAATCCCACTCCCTGGCAGGGCCTTTGCATAATTTCCAGCTAAACTGCGTTCGAGAAACTGCAGCCGCTGCCCGAAAGTTGATTTACTTTGTGATTCTTAAGGCCCCACAGCTATTAATTAGAGATATATCAAAATATTTGCCGCTGATCGGGGGTTGGTCCCGACTCCATCTCCACCTTCGGATTGATTTATCTCTGGGCTGACCATTTTTGGCAAGTCCGCAAGGTCAAGGCAAGTTGTCAACTTCGCAGAGTGGAGAGACTGCTCTAAGGCTGAATTTGGCTTAGATTTCATTGGAATAAACTTATTTTTCTCTTTGTTTTTCGATTCACATTTCTGTGTGTGTGCCGTTTGTTTGTCTGCAGTCTTGATTAAGCTTGATGGCGGCCGTCCGGCAAACCTTTTTATCATATCTTTTTTTTTTGTTGGTTTCATTTTTCAGCCTTTTGCATTTCTTGGAACTTTTTCTGAGAGTTATGACAACTGCCAAGGGGGGATCTAGAGATGGGTCTGGCCGGAGATTTGAGTGGCAGTCAAAGAGGAAGAGGAGGAGCTCGCCTGGGTTTCACTTACTAAGCCCAGCTTAAGGCCGCACCTGATGGAAATGCAACTCCAATTTCGGGTCACTTCTGACTTGTGTACATTTCGCAATCTCTTTTTTTGGGTCTTTCGATCAGCTTTTTTAATTACCACAGCAAATGTTAATTATGTCGCCAGCGGCTGTCATTGAGAGCCATCAAAAGTCTTGTGTAAAATGCTCCCAATGGCAGGCATAAGGGGCAATTGGGCAAGGGAAAGCCCTGCCCAGAACATGTGTTAGATCCACTTTAATGTTCCAAGTCGTGGCTTGGGGTTGCACCCCGTTATCGTAAATTCAAGTTAAGGCAATGAATATTAATAAGCAGCTGCCCTGGCTTCCGAGCAATTGCAATAATAATTGTGTGTGTGTGTTTTTTGTTTTGTTCACTTTGATGCTGACAAATGAGCGCCACAGTTCGTTCCCTGGCCCCTGTTGAAATGTTGAAAAATGTGAAAGAAAGTGCCAGAAAACAAAGCGAAGAAAACAAAAATTGATGCTGACTTCCGGCTTTGGTTTTTGTTTTGTTTGCGGGTTAAATGTTGAACTTGTGATTTATCAGCCAGAACCACATTAACCAGAACAAACAGAAACAAGAATAATATTCGCCTTTGTCTCTGTCACGAGAAAAATGCGTACTTTGGGAGTGGAAAAGGTTGACCACTCGACCATGAACAGCATTGGGGATCCATCAGGAAATACTCTACCAAGTTCAAAGCGAAATGCTGACTCCTGGCTGCTCGAAAAGTGCATGAAAGTATCCGTGAGACAGCCTGAATGTTGCGTAGCTGGAATATTTTCTGGTTAATATATTTCTGCTACCTTTCAATTACGAGTGCACGCGATGATGGACAGACAGAGACTCAGACTCAGACTCAGACTCAGACACGTCGGCAGTTAGTAGAGACAAAGGAATCCATAATGAGTTCCAAGTGGATCCGTCTTCTTGCTTACATTAAATGCAACAAAAAAGACTAGGAATCCGCAAAAATAACGAGAATGAAAGTAAAGGGAAGGGAGCTTGTTCAGCTACTTAATAAAGACATACCCGTTTGCCTCTTTGCAGTTGCAGCGCCCAAAGATGACGACTTTAAGCTCCGCTTTGCTGCTCTGCTGCACAGTTATGCTGCTGGCCACAGCGGCATCAGGTATACAGAACAGAACGAACAGCAACAGCCATCCCACCAGACTACAGCCACATCGTGTGCATGGACATCGACAGCGTCACCATGGTGGTCCCTTGGTGGCAACTCAGCAGCGACCAGCCCGCCGTCTGCAGTCGGCCAACTCGGCCAAGGCGGAGGTGGAACTGCTGCCGGGTGTCACCATGCAGGAGGTCACCCGGCTGCGTCGCATTCATCCGCATAATCCCTACAATAAGGTGTTAACGCGTCGCCTGCATCAGCAGTCGGGTCGTCCCACCGAGTGGGACTACAACACGTACAACATCTACACGAATACGTTTGGACCACCACCGCCACCGGTGCCGCCATCGTTGCCGCACTCTGGCAAGGGCGAGGACAACACGCAGGATGTGGAGTTCATTGGCGTGCGAGAGCGGGGACGTGGCTACAACTATGTGCCATCTGTGAGCAGCACCACTGCACCACCGCCGAGTCTCAATCGTCGCTCTGCCACTCCCGGACTGAGCAGCATAGGCACCATTCCGCCCCTGGTGCCCGCCCGACGGGGTTATGTCTACACGACGACGGCGCCCATGACAACCACGAGCACATCCACACCCGCTGTGACCACGGAGGATCCCTACGAGACGAACACCATTGGACGCCACTATCCCACAGATCCCAAGGAGATGGAGAGGTGAGTTTGAGCAGTTTAAATAGATTAAAAAAAGAAGAGCCACCAGAAAGGTTGAAGGTTCATCTTCATTGAAGGCTTCCCCAGAAGAGTAATGCCTTTAGGGGCACACCCCTTTGGGGCATACGAGTCCAAAATGGAACTCCAGATGGAGATGGAGATGTTGGTGCGATCTTTCAGCGGCATTGGTACGTTGGGGCGTGTCCGATTGCATTTATCAGTGCCCGAGCCCCAACTCCGGTTCAAGGTTGCTGCAGTCATAAATAAATATCCCCAAAAGCTGGCTCAAGATCTCAGCTTGGGTTGCTGCTGCGGCTTATCGCATTGAACATAAATTATTTAAATATTTTGACATGCCGCGAGATTTCAATGTCGATTCAACAGCAGCAGCTGCTGCTGCTCTGCGCTCTGCGCTTCGGTGCTAATTTGCGGCCCAGACCAAATGCCAAGCCATCGCCAACAACAACTGGCTGGAAATTAGCCCCAAGGCCAGGACAGAGCCCATCGACGATCACTTCACAAGCACTGCTGCTGCGTGTGTCAATTGTGCTGCAAATCAATGAGGCGCGCACTTGAATTCCACATGCCCAATGCCCACTCCATGCCCGTATCCGTGGCCGTAACAATTGCAATAGCAGCAGCTCCTTAAATGTACCAACTACTCTCGTACTCGTACTCGTACTCGTGGGCACTTTGTAGTGGCTGTCGTGTCGTGTCTTCGTCCGCGATCTGGCCAAGATTGTGTGTGCTGGCTGCTGCCTGCCCTGGCATTGACTTGTCGCCTTCATTGTGGCTGTCAGTCGCCTTTAAGGTAATGAACTTTAACGAGTTTTCAATTGCCAGTGCCCAGTGCTGTTGTTTTCTAATTGGAATTAATGTGCCACTACTTAAGGGCAAACCATCCAGCATTCAGCAGTCCATCAGCAGTCCAATTCCAGCGGAAACGCTGCGTATGCGCAATCCTATGTTGCACTCTCTGTGGCAGGTTGCTGTTGTGGCTCTGTGGCTCTGTGGCGTTGCAAATTATGACACATTTTGATTTATGCGGCAGCTGCCAAAATGCTGCCACAAGGCAAATGCACAGCCCAGCATCATCATTCATGTCCATGGGGCTGCCTCGCGCGCCTTTACAGTGGTGCAAGATGTGGCCAGAAATATGAGCCAGCACAGAGCCACCGCTCCAGCACTACTCAGTGCACAATTTAATGAATGATATTTGTGTAATTCCCATTGATATTCCCCAGTTTTTTTCCACTGTTTCCCACTGCATGCAGGCGCTGCTGCCTTGCCTCTTTTTTCTATTTATTTAAGCACTGCACGTGCAGCGTGCAACAGCAACAGCAACAGCAACAGCGGGAGCGAGAGCAAACGACTGTTGCAAGTGGCGCATTGCAACAGAGGCAGTCCAGTCCATATGGAAATGACTTCTCATGTAGATTGGCTTCAGCTTTGGCTTTGGCTCTGGCTTCTCGTTTCGTTTTGGTTATTCACACGCCGCCATCAGCAAAGAGATCTCCTCCTCCTCTATAACTCTTTCCCTCCGCCACTGAAAGTCCAGACCTGGTTAATGGACAGAGCAACGATTCAATTGCCGCTGCTCCAACTGCAGTTCGGTTTTAATCAGCGTTATAGCTGCCGATTGCCATATAAAAATGAAGTTAACTCATTTCCCCCCCCCCCCCCCGCCAACAGCACACAGTGGCGCAAAACTTTACTTTTAATTGCAACTTTCGGAAGATCCATCCAACAATTTGCATGCCCAAATAACCGCTGCTTTGGCTCCACTGTGACCCGCGTTTGGTCTTTCAGTTTTGGGCTTCTGTTTTTGATGATTTCAATTGATGTCCGCACTGTGCATGTGGCAGACAATTTGTTGTTTTTGCTGCTGCTACTGGCTACTGTTGCATGCCACACTGACAATTGATTGATGTCTGCAGCATTCAATGATTGACTTTTGATTTGCGATTGCGGCGATTGCGACACCCAACCCAAACCGATCGAGTAGCGGATCAACCGATCTAAAACCGGAGTTAATGAATTGATTATACATTCCACATGGGTGTGGAAGAGGAGGAGGTGCTGGAGTGGAGGTGTTGATTCAGGCAGGGCATATGTGTGTGTGGGCGTGGCCAGCCAGCCAGCCAGCCAGCCAGCCAGCCAGCCAGCGCTTAAATGCCACTTGCAGAGCCCCAAAAACTAGCCAACTTTATCTTGCCAATAGTATCTGCAACGACCACAATAAAAATCGAAAACAAAGCAGGGCCTTGACTTCAATCGACAACATACAAAATACAAATAAAAGCCAACAGCCAATAGCCAACAACAATTGGCAAAATGTACAACAATAAAATGAGACAAGAGCCAAGGAGAGTTATGTGCACTTTAGCCACAACTCTGTGACCCTAACAAGAGGCAAGAGAACGCAGATGCATAGACATAGACTCCGCACTCCGACTCAGACAGGGGCACAGACCACGCGGCTGCGCAGCTGGATGTGGTGCCCGGGTTTGTAGTCCGCCTGCAAATTGCTTGTCAACGATCGAACCTAGGCTTAGGCTCTGCGATAATTATGGGCTAGAGGGGGGGGAGGGAGAAGGAGTGAGGCTCGAGTGACGAATGATTTGATATGCTGCGCTTGGAAAAACTGCACTTAGAACTGCGGCTGGCTCTGTGCAGCCTGTGAAAATTCGTTAACATTTTGCACCGTGAAGCATTGTGCTCAATGGCAACGCCTACGCGTGCCTAACCGCACTCCCACTTGGAGTTGGAGTTGGAGTTGGAGCCAGGCAGAGCTCTAGCCTGGTCTCTGGCTTCGTCTCAGTCTCTGCTGCGGCTTATCGAAGTCATGCCATCAGCTCCAGCAAGGGTAAACCTTGGCCCAGGCTTCTGCCTCTACGTTTAATGAGTTTTTCTTGGGATTTCGCTGGGAAAAACAACATCCACACATCCACGAGGCATGCAGGCATGTGGGAGTGCAACAGGCTAAATCCTCTGCTCATCAAAAATCAGCAGACAGAACACGGAACACGACATGGATATGACAGTCAATTGAACAAATTGCCAGCCTCACAAATGCAGCCACAAAAAATTGTCGCTTCAATTAAGATGGATTCGCCTCGACAGAGCTCAAGGGGAAGGGAAACCTTTAATTGAAAGAAAAGTTTCAAGAGCTGTTGCTGAGTGTATTTCCAATTTGTTGGCTCCCCTTTTCCACCTTCATTAGTCATGGTCATTGTCACTGCAAATGGTTTGAGTGTGTTGCGCCTTTTTTTGGGTTGTGCATTCGATATGCACACATGACAATTTATGGAGCACAGACTATATGGGTCACAGAGCTCTGGAGGAAATATTTGTTACCATTTCAGGGTGGAGTGGAGTGGAGTGACATGTAAAATATGTACCCACAGTGGGTATGTATCACATTACCAAATGACAATTTGATTTACAATGTGTTCCATAACAAGGGCGAGTTATCAATCAATGTGTGCTGCAACCAGAGAAACAAATACAATGAGATTGTTTTATTTGCATTGGAATTTAAATATTTATGGAAATAAATGGCAAAAAGAAAGTATTTACATTTCCCTTTTATCAATAATATACGAAAATATTCGATGGCAAAATGCTTCATAAATAAATGAATAAGAAATAGATTCATATTTCGATTAAAAATATATTTCTTACAGATTTCATTTAATTAAATATTCAAAAAAGCACCTTAAGACATTTACTTTTAATTTAAATGTTTACCTAAAAACCGAATACTTAATTGACATCTGGGTGTTTCTTTTTATTACTCTACTATTTTTCTCTAAGTTGTTGTGTAGCTTTTAAAGCAATAAATTTTAGTTGCCCCAAAATATTTATCTATCTTTCTTGCATATCTCGGCCTCTGTTACGTTAACACAAACAATCGTAAATATGAATGCACTAAATGAATATGTAAAGTAAAGTAAAGTCCGATTCATGGCATTGTTCGGTTCGGTGACTGGCTCTGTGCCTGGGCGTGTGTGCAATTAGTGAGTTTTTCACATAAACACAAGTAAGTCACTCAAAACATGAATTGGACAACGGACAGGGGACAGTTTGGACAGTCGTTCCGTACCGTCACAATGCAACTGAAGCAGCAGCAGAGGTGGGCAGCCGCTGCCTCTGCCGCTGCACCGTAATTTGCAAATCACGCAGCTTCGCATCTCAAGTTGAAAATTGGGTTAATGCAATGTTGAGGACGGGGGAGAGACATGCAGACAGACAGACAGACAGATTACATGTAAGCCCGTTCGGTCAGGCGGGGTGTGGCGGGGGGGGCGGCGCTGGGTGGCGCTGTCTCTGCATTGCTTTTGTCTTGCAGCCAACCCCAATACAAAAGACAACAAAACTGTGTGAGTGCCGCCACACACGAGGCTGGAGAGCACGAGAGAGCACGAAAAAGACTGTGCCATAACATGACGCACAAAATTCCAGCCATATAATGTGGCTACACTGCAAGAAAAGTTAGAACCATAAATTCCATTTATTCCAATTGAAGTTTATGGCATTTGCATGCATCTTTGCCATTAATGTTGAGTGATTCATTCACTCGCATCTTCTTGGGGGTTCAATTAATAATTCTTTCAGCAAAAAGAGTTCATAGAATCCAGATCTAAATTGGAAAGTCTGGAGTTAGTCATGCTTTTAGATTGATTGAGATGTGTTCTGCAATCAAATTGCACTTTAAACAATTAAAGCAGCGGAAGAAATCTTCGCAGAATGTATGGAATAAGTTGCTGCCTCTTAGATGTTTATTTTCTTATATTCAAAAATTCCCCCCAGTGTACAGATAAGCGCACCAGGAGTACTGGGAACGAGACCCGCCATTTGGCTTACTTAATTATGTTGCAATTGGATACCATGTGTAGCCCAAACAGACACTGAAACTGGGATTGGGATTGGGATTGGGTTTGGGTTCGGCTGTGGAATGGAATGAAATCAGCGTTGCACTTGCCTCTGCTTGGACTTGTGCT